TAAGATCAAATAGGGCTGGTTGCTATGGACTGCGAAAGATATTTACAAAAATGAATTGATGTATAGCTACATTACCAAGCTATTTTATGGGAATCACTGGGCTCACAAATTATCCATGTTCCTAAGAGAGTCCACGTGACCACTAAATTACCTTTTCCCAGTTTTTCTCTTCGTTTTCCTTCTGACGATCTGCACTTGATAGCTAAGGCAAGCGAACTAGCATGGTTTCTGAGAATGTCTATGATTTTGTAGGTATTCAGACATCTGGTGATGCCAAACATTTTGCAATATCAGCGAAGATACCTGAGTTTTCAAATAAGAACAGGACATTGGTCCTCCAATACTCTATAAGATTTGAGCAGGACATTGAATGTGGTGGTGGTTACATAAAGCTTCTCTCTGCATTTGTCAATCAAAAGAAATTTGGAGGGGACACCCCATATAGGTTTGTTTCAAAATTTTACACCCAAACATCTTTTACAGGCAAATTTCTGGCACTTGGTTCTCATTTTCTTACTGCCATTTGGTATTTATGTGGTTGTCTTAACTGCATTCTTGTACATCTTGTTATCATTGAGACTTCCTTTTCAGGAATGTAAACTATGGATGGTTAATCCTTTTCCATTTTCCAATGACAATTTGGGGTAATGATGATAACAGTGATATTTGACTTGCAACCTTGAACTTGTGATTTAGGGTAATTGAACCTGTATAGAACAACTTAGACATGCTTTCTTTCTTGGAAAAGGGGTGGGGGGAGGGGGTAGATAATTTCTTTTGGTGGCTGTAGAATGATGTGAAGGAAAACTTGTGAGATAAAAAGAGATAGAAGAATAAAAAAATAGATATGAAAGATGATCTTACTTCTGAGATTGGAAAATTTCAGTTTGAATCCTTCAAAATTTCATCCTAAAAAAGTGATCATAGAGATTTGTCTGAGGTTCAAAACTCTGTATGGAGTAATTATGTGCAAATAGTCATCTTTCCTCATGTTTGTTTCCAGTTACTTAATGTACTTTTGACATGTTCTTACTTCTAAAGAGATTCTTTTTTGCCATTAGCATGAATGTTGAATTAATTGCTTGGATGCATTTCTCATCAGTCTCTAGAGCAACCTTCTTTAGGGACTACATTTTTTTTTTCAGTTTTTTTTTTTAATTGTTTTCCGAAATTTTTTGTTGACTAACCTCACCTTTTTTTTTTCCTGCAGCTTAATGTTTGGGCCAGATATATGTGGCACACAAACAAAGAAGCTCCATGTTATACTTTCTTACCAGGGCCAGAATTACCCTCTTAAGAAGGAATTGGAATGTGAAACAGACAAGTTAACTCATTTCTACACATTTATTCTTAGGCCCGATGCAAGTTACAGTATCCTCATCGACAATCGTGAAAGGGATTCTGGAAGTATGTATACAGACTGGGATATTCTTCCTCCACGCAAAATCAAAGATCTCAAAGCTAAAAAGGTTAACATTTGAGCTTTGAAACCACTGATTTGTTTGGACTAATTAATTCAACACTTTTGTTAATTTTTCCTATTGAAATCTTATTTCCAATATTGACTGTCAGCCTTCCTAAATGAGAGAGAACAGTAATTTCTTCAACCATCTTAGCTAAGGCTGCTTTAAGATTTACCTTTTCAATTTGACTCTGATTTCAGCCTTTCTTCATAAGGTCAGTTTTTTTGAACTTTAAATTTCTATCTTTTGCAGCCTGCTAACTGGGATGATAGAGAATATGTTGACGATCCTAATGCCAAGAAACCTGAGGTAAATTATCATATCATCTTTTTTCTTAATGATTTTCCAGTTGATATATAATTTCAATGCAAAATATGCCTAAGCTCCTCTTGGTGTTGCAGGGGTATGATTCAATTCCAAAAGAAATTCCTGATCCTAAAGCTGAAGAGGTTAGTTTGGTATTTGAGAAGCAATAATGTTATACCATGCACCTGGATTTGCTTTGTGGTTTACCTGCCACCAGATCCCTCTCGCATGCAACTGGCATAATCATATTATGACTGATGTTTTTTTCACCGGTTAGCCTGATAATTGGGATGAAGAAGAGGATGGTATTTGGAAACGACCAAAGATACCAAATCCAAAATACAAAGGACCATGGAAACCAAAGGTATGCTTAAAGCTAACAAGTAAACTGTGAAACCTAATTTTTTAACTGCAGCATCTCATCAATACAGTCTTCCTTTATGACTACAGAAAATCAAGAACCCAAATTATAAAGGGAAATGGAAGATTCCTTATATTGATAATCCAGGTACTCCAATATATTTTTATATTTCCTTATGGCTCTTGCAAATAAGAATCTTTGGAATTGAAGAATTTGCAACAAAGATTTGAATGATATTCTTGTCTCTCTCCAGAGTTTGAAGATGATCCTGATCTTTATGTGCTTAAGCCAATCAAATATGTGGGCATTGAAGTTTGGCAGGTATGTCTATCGAACATAAGTATCAGTTTGCTAGTTTAGGATAACCTTCATTTATATGATGCAATCTTGAAATGTAATGGTCAGGTCAAGGCTGGTTCAGTTTTTGACAACATTTTGATCTGTGATGATCCTGAGTATGCGAAACAAGTGGTAGATGAAGTGCTTGCCAACCGAGAGGTCTACCCTGCTCTTTCTCCTTTTACTAGCAGATGATTTTGTCAATAGTGATGCCTAATTTTCGTTAGTTTTAATCTTTCAGGTGGAAAAAGAGGCGTTTGAAGAAGCAGAGAAAGTGAGAAAAGCACAAGAGGAAGAGGTTATTAACAGACCTTTGCTCTTCATATTTATCCATTAATTCTATATGAACTTTGGTTTTCTTGAATAGTCCTTTAAGTAGATTTAAGTGCAACATCTACAGGAAGCTCGAAGAGCGAGAGAGGAAGGTGAGAGGAGAAGAAGGGAAAAGGGTTACGATAGACGACACCGGGATAGGGAGAGCTATAGGGACAGATACAGAAGGGTTTGTATTTTACATGCTATAACCTTTTTTTTTCATAGATGTAGCACCATTGACAAAGACCAAGAAACTAAGAGAAACTGGACAACAAATTCTGATTTCTGAATTTCTATTCTTGAGCTTAACATTCAATTTGCAAAATCTCATGTCTCCACACAAGAAAGCTATGGAAACATGTAGGACCACTGGTTTGGTAGTTCAGGCATTCACACCTTAGATGAAAATTCAGAAACTTAGGACCTTATTCATGTGGGATTTGTTAGCTGGTTTCCGCTTTTGTGAATATTATTATTAATGTGGGTCTTATTTTAGGTTTTTAAATGAACATATGTGTTTCTCTGAGACCAGATATTTGGCTTGGACGATTGGTTTTGAAGCTTCTTCAAAATGAGACTTTGAATTCAAGCTGAGTGATGTAGAACAAAAGTAGGGAAAAGAGATAGTAGTAGAAGTTTAGAAGGAAATTAGAGATAGCAACAATTAGAGAGGAACAGACACAGAAGAACTATGAGAGAAAAGATCAATAGAATGGGAACATGTCAATATATAATATCTCAAAATGTCCAATATTCATCATCCAAAAGCTCATTGAAACTAAAATTACATAAGTGTTTATAACTAAACCAAAACCCTAATAAAATGTAAAGTATGAAATATAACCCTAACACCCTAATATTTGGAAATTAAATACAATGTAAATTAACATAATCTAAAACTAGCCTAAATAGATGTAAAAATTGAAATCGAACTCATTAAATTTAAAATAAAACTAACATATTTTCATCTTCCATGAGTCCGCTTTGAGGATGGAAAAGTACTTAACAGAATTTTAAAATATTTAATAGCTTCAAGAGAGAAATGTGTTTGTATTTCAGATATGAATATAAATTCAACTAGATTTTGTAATTTGACCTTGAATGTTTAGCTGATCACACTTTTCAATCATACTGCAATTAAGAAGTTCAATTTCTAATTGAAATGTTTTCTTTGCAGCATCCACGTGATTACTCGGATGATTATCATGTAAGTATCAACCTTCGCTCTATCTATTTCCTCTTAACAACATGCTATCTTCTTTGGGAAAAATTATTTTCACTTCATGTCTTCAAAATGAGATTTTGTACCATATCATTCATTTCCGTTGCTAACAATGCCAAACTCTTCAGATTTTGTTGAAGTAAATGAGACATCTTTTTATTTTGTTTTTTTCTTTTTTCAATCCAAGATCATTCACTACACTTACAAACTGGTCCCTGATTTATGTTACTACTCTATGGTTGAAGTGGTCTGTAGAAGTACTACTAAAGAGCATTCTCATATTCTTTGACCATTGATTGTGTCCTCTCATTTTCTCAAGAAATCCCTGCGAGGGCTATGATTTCTATAATTAGAAGTCATCTTGAAAACTTGAAACACATGCTTGTATCGGGTTCCGAATTTGAGATGTCCTCTCGCTTACTGCTTGTTTATACTGTTTAAAGGCAGCATAACTATCTTAAGAAGCTGCTGAATCATCTTGATCATCCAGTAACGAATTCTTTATTTGGTTTGCAGGATGAGCTTTGATGGGTCTTGCTTGCTCCTGCTTCCCCTCCTTGTGGTGCTGTTACGTGTCTTCCATGTGGACTATTATGGCTACCGAAGCTGAATCAACGGAGCTTAGGGGGAACAGTTTTGGTCCTAAATTGTTGTACAATTCTGTGTTGTCATTCTGCTTGGAAAACTACCAGTTTATAATAACACACGTTTATAATGAGTTATTAGGTATTATAAAATTTCCATGGATAATTCATGCATTATTCTCGTGGACTCATGGTGTATTAGGGCAAAGAGGAGATTGGGCAGAGCTGCTCAGTAGTTAGGTTTCTTCAGAACATTTTGCAGTTCCTTTAAAGATTTCCAAATTACAGAAATAATCATGAACTCATCTTTTATGCTTGTTCAAAAGCGCCTTTATGATCTCAAACTTGGAAGGAAAATATTGCATAAGCTAGCCAATCAAAACTACTAATATCAACGACATGTGTGGCATATGGTTGTCGGCCCCATCTGTAACCAACACCAAATAGGCAGGTAGACGTAAGTAGGCGATCATCTCATAAAGTAGCGCCGATTATGGCTATGGGAGAATATTGGACTGAATGTGATCAGCAAGAAGCTCGCCCCATAAAATCATCACACACTGCAGCTTATTTTCCTCTCTCTTCTGGGCAACTAGTGCTTTAAACGCTTCCACCGTGGCTTCTCCTTCCAGCAGCAAACGTCTTTCGGAGTCCACGTGGGTTCTCATGTCTGACACAAACGCTTCCATCTCCTCCACTTGAGCTTTCATTTTCATCTTCCTCTCTCTTTTCTGTTTCAATAATCCAATTGTTTTATCAGGCAAAAAGCCCAAGATTAACAGATGAATTTATCCTAACCTGGACGATTACCTCAAGGGAGGACTTATTACGGCTTCTCCCAACAGCCCTGGTGCAGCACCTTGTTTTTCTTCGCATCGGACCTCTTTTCTTCTTCTAAGCAAAAGTGTAGGAGACAACAGTGATTAACATGAATGTTGCACGCAGGAAGAATTGATTAAAACACTAGTAGCTAATTAACTACCTCTTGATTGGTCTTGTGGGCTGATATTGTTGAACGCATTTTTGCTGCTGTAAATGATACTGACTTCCTTTTGCTCTTGTGTAGCACCATAGCAGAGGCAGACTCTCCTTCTGACATTCTTTTCTTCTGCCTGCAAACCCAGAAATCTTGCGAGCTTCTGGAGTATTGGACAAGTTAAAGACGACATGATAATTTTGAAATATTTATAGAGGGCTCAAACATAGAAAGGTTGGCTTTCTTCTAGACAAACTCGTGTCGCAAATCAGGTGCCCTCGGTTCCACATAAGATCTTCCATTCACTGTTTGATGGGTATTCCACTTTTGGTAAACGAGCGGTTGGGACTTAGGATCGCTCGACATCGTCTGTCAAAACGCAATTTATCAGCCTAAATCGCTCGTTATTCAGTGGTTTATCCGCCGCTCATGGTCGCCCCGGTCCCAAACTTGGACTACCATTTTGTGTATTTATCTTTTGCTTTCCCATGGGGTGGACTTACCTCACGCTCACTCCACCAACTCTTTCTAGCTTCTGATTCCTTGTTTTTATTTTTTATTTTAAAAAAAAAGTTAAACAAAAAGAAATTGACCATAAATTCAAAGCAAACATGCATGACTGGCTTAAAACTAGTACATCTTCACGAATATGACTGGATAAAAATATAATATTAAAATGGTTTCAGCAGCATTCGTGGTCAGTTTCGGTGTCTACAAGGCGTTTCCGTGGAGTTTGCGTAATGAAGTAGTAAATCTTGGACCGACGCCGTGTATGAGTCATTGCGCCCCAAATGTGAAAACAACATATTTTTGAGCCGAAGGGAACAGCTTCAATAACGGTAGACAGATGACTGGACCCCAGCCCTGTGTCACGGGCCACAGTCCAGACCCACCAGGAGGCCCAAGAAGTGACATAGTCCGGACCCGCCAGGAGGCCCAAGAAGGTGCCAGCCCACTAGACCCATGTAGGGGGGGCTGCTGGAAAATTCAAATTTTCCCTCCCAACCGAATTTCTAGAACCTTCCAAAACTTTGGAGGGAAATCTTTTGGGGGGGGAATACTTTGAATTGAAAACTTTGGAGGGAAATCTTTTGGGGGGAATACTTTGAATTAAAAACTTTGGAGGGAAAAGTGGGTGGGGAACCTTGGCTATAAATAGCCCCATCCACCATTGTGTAAATCATCCATTTTTGCATCCATTCTTGCATCCTTTGTATTTCAATTCATTCAATATAAAGAGTTTAGTTTTTCTCTAGCATTCTCTTCCCATTTTTCCTTCCTTGTTTATGCAAGCTTGCTTGCCGGCTTAAAGCCATTGTGCGGGTGTTGAGCGCTTGTCGGGTGAGTAAGGCTGACTTGGGTTCTACTGCCGAGCTAAGGGCTGAATCCAAGGCCGCACGAAGGTGGTCTTAAGAATCGCCCCGTGACACCTGTCTTCCGTCAATCCCAAACTCCACCGCCCCCGCTAGGTCCATCGCCTTCTCAACTTTTTTTATTCGTGATGCAAAACGAAAAAATGAGGTGAGTGAGCCCGTAGGGTGACCCGCTCAAAAACGGTTCTTGCACTTTGGTCACGGAGAGCTCACAAAAAGGGGTGAGTCAGCCATTGAAGAAAGTTAGCGCACACCATTTTGCATTTTTACAAGATTTGATCTCGTCCCGTGCACGCAAATATCATTTTCTTTCTTGACTTTCAATAAATTGATTGATATGAAAAATTAATTTTTTTGTATTTAAATAATTTGACATAAAAATTTGATGAAATGTCACTATATGTTCAACGAATAATGAATTACTATTGGGGGGCAGAGCCTCCTTATTGGATGAGGCGCCGTGGCTTCCAAAACTTTTAAAACCTTTTACATATTATATAAAATTTTTAAACTTTTTTATAAATTTTTTAATAACCGTTTCAAAATAATTTTTTTACTTAATAGTTAATATAAATAAAAAATAATAAAATAAATTTATATACTTGACTCAATTTTTAAATTTTTTTAAATTTATATTATTATTTATATTTTTTTATTTTTAATTTATTTATGCATATATTTTAAACATCTATATATATTTTTTTTCACAAATTTTTACGAATCATTAATCATTTTTTTATTAGGTCATATGTGGATTATATCTTCTACTTGTCATGCTCTTCTTTTTTCTGTTATATAGATTTTATTTGTTATGATTTTAATATTTAAAAGTAAATAAATTATTATGTAATTTTTAAATATAACTTACAATGTTGCAATTCTGCTTAGAATTTTATTAATATATTATATTTTATTTAGAATAATTAATATATCTTAACGTGTATGTTGTAAATATTAAGTAATAAAAACATACATACAAATTGATAAAATGAAATGATTGTATTTCTTTCAATACAAATTTATTTATTATATTTTTAATGGTCTTCAAAGTAATTTTTTTATTTAATAATTATTTTTATTCCTCAAACTGTTTGATACAATTAAAGTCATTACGGTCAACAAATTGCTAGTTAAGCCCAATAAATAAATTCTAACATAATATATTAAGCATATCAAATTAAAAAAAAATAAAAATAAGTGTATTAATCCAAACCTATTAAGTTATAATATAAATATAAACTTATCATAACATATTATATTTTAATAGTTCTACCTAATAGTCTCTTCTAACATACTATATCGAAATAGTTTAATTTAATAATATAATATATTAATTAATAATTTAAGAAGCAAATAGAAATAAGAAGAGAGCTTTTTTAAAAAACTACACATTTTATGTAAAACATACAACATAAAAAAATAATTCATTTGAATTTAAAAAATTCAACATCATGTCTAGTTATGTCAAAGGTGGTCGTACATCATTTACAGCACGAAACTTGATGGCAGCAATGTCATATGCTTCAGCTGCTTCCTCTCAGGTGCTAAATGTTCCAAGATAAAGGTCCTTGTTTCCTGCGACCCTGCCATCTTCCAAGCTGATGATGCCTTGTTGCTCCTCTGTACATTGAGGCCCGTCTGGTGAACCCACTACTTTTCCTTCTTAGATGGGCAACATATTCTTGGCGGCTCATGTTCTTCATTTCTTCTAGTTCTTCTTGGTAATTTTCAAGCGGAAAATTTATATGCGTTGAAGGTCCCCAATACTTCAGAGCTGCGAGACCATAAGCTCTTGCAGCTTTCTCTTCCATGTCCTAAACCCCGAGATAGTTTATATATATTTAAAACAATAACAAATTAAGCACCTTTATTTTAAAAATCACCCATCATATTTAAAAAAATAATTAAACCAATCACTTCCTAAAAAAATAAAAAAAATATTAAAATCTCCAATTCTTTTCTAATTTAAATAAACATTTATTTTTTTTGTATATTTAAATACTTGAAAGTTCTTATATTTATTGGTAGGGGCTTTTAAATTTTCAAATCTATTCACCAACAAAGTGGAAATATGTAATTTGTTATCTCAGAGCATATAGAATCTATACATGATAGTTGTCGGAAATATAACTTTTTTTATTCATATTTGATGAAAAACAATCTTATGATTCCTATAATCTTTTGATACGTTTGTAACGAACTCTTTACTGATCGTTACCGGCATCCGAGACTTGCGAGTGAACCCATCAAATCTTGAACAAGTCTTAGTTGAGATTTCAGATAATTTAATCAAACATTCTAATGCGTATATAAATCGACTAGTAATAACAATGCTTTTGTTTACTTAAACCAAATAAACGATTACAAGTAAAGTATAGCATCTAGTTACAATATCTTCGTGTGTCCAAACTTCACACTTAACATCAAATACACAACCTTAGAGTTTTTAACAAAATACATTTTCGATAGACTAATAATCATTATAAGTCTAACTATTTTACAGAACACGATCTTTATGTAGTCGAGTGACTTAGAGTGGAAGTCTAAGAGATGCCATTACCTATATCGCAGCAAATCTCGAGGTGCTGAATAATGCATTTGAGTTAATTACCTATCTACAAAAGGAAGATAAGGGAGGTGAGTCTCACAGACTCAGTGATCATCAACTCCGTGAGAGGGCGTAGATGGGAAACAAGCCAAAGTAGAAGATTTGAATATAAAAAAACACAAGAACATATAATCCATTTAAAAGCAAATGGGACATTTGTGCCTTACGTATAAAATCAAGGATTTTTATGCAAGAAGTCATTTAACCGTCATTGTCTCAAAACCAATGTGAGTGAAAGATTTTATCTTCAAAATCATTTAATGTCTTTTACTTAAAATCGGACTAACATAAGCACGCACGCTCTCATGAAATCAAACATTATTAAAGTTTTTACACAAGCTTAAAAATCATTTTATCCTTGAGGTATTAAACACAACATCATTAATTC